ATAGTTGAACATTTGGAGCAAAACAAGTTGAAGCAGTTGAGGAGTAGCCAGTGAGGAAGGAGAGAGGGAGAAGTAGGCCAATCAAGAAGAGAAGTGTCTTAGTGATACCACTCAGCACTCCTCCAGGGCCTTGTCTATATTTTTAGAAGCATTTAACTATTTACTTTTACAAAATTTAACGTTCTGAATGAGCAGCTGAAACCATTCAAATGACATTATTTCCCCCAGAGTTGAGCACTTCACTGGATATTTCTGTATATAACTTTCTGTTTGGTTACAGACCTCTACTTGTATATTCCTTCAGCCAGACTCCCTTGTCACAGGAGTGCTGGGTGGAAAATTTTCATTTTTTTTCTCTGCAAGAACAGTTTAAAATGAGAAAGCAAGCAGTTATGAAATAGTCACACATACTTTTTAGTTATGCCTATAATACTTCCATCAGTATATCTAATTAGATATTGTTTTATATATTTTAAGTAAATATATTTCACAGTGATCAAAAGTGGGAGTTACAGACATGTTGAGTTTTTACAGCTGAGATGTAGAAGTCAATGAAAGGATAGGCCTTAGGTTACATTACATAGTCTGTTTAATACTCCATAGATGGCTCAGTTGAACCATCTATTCCATGCAGGTAAGCTTTGCTGTCAAGGACTGGAAAACAGCAGCTGCTCATATATCATCACCTGTGGGTGATGGCTCTGTCACTACATCAGAGGGAAGCCAGACCCCTTCCACTGTTAAGAGTAAATATTGTGCTAAAAACTAATTTCATGTTGAGTGTGGTGGTGCGTGCCTGTGATACCAGCACTCAGGAGGCCGAGGCAGGATGATTGCTGCAAGTTTGTGGCCAGCCTGGGCTACAAAATGAGTTCAGGGCAGCCTGAACTGCATAATGAGACCCTGTCTCAAAAACCAAAAACAAGCAGGCAAACAAAAACAATTTCATACAGAAGTCCATATAGTTTAATACACAAGTTAGTGTTTTTAATTTTATAATTGTAAAAGCAATTTTTGTATTCTATTATATTGGCAACTTTATTTCAATCTCAAAAATAAGATTAGTTTACAGTTTTTCATTGTGTCTTTCTTCCGATACCCTGGTGATAACTGTATATTTTCATCTGTAATTGTAGTACACAAGTACATGCATTTTAGCTTATGATGACCCTTTGAAGAGCAAACTGTTTATCTTATTCAGAAAATGGAGGCTCAGAGAGGTTTAATAACATGACTAAGACATGACAACTAATAAATAGAACAAAGGCTGTTAGCTTTATTTTTTCCCCCTAATACTGGGAACTGAACCCAAGGGTGGTCTAACATAGAGCTGTGTCCTCAGCCCTTTTTATTTTTTGAGGATTTGAACTTGTGATCCTCCTGTCTCAGCCTCCTTCAGTGATAGGACTCCAAGTGCACCACTGCACCTGGCCACTTTCTCTGTTTTCTTAGAACTGAACTTAATACCTGCTGTATATCAAAATGTAATTCCCTACCATGTATTTTTTTTCCTCTTAGATTTCTCAGTGTCCTTTTTCTGTATGTGTGTCTAACGTTTTTGATAAGAAATGAAAATAATTTGTGTGTTTTGGATTTATGATCCTTTTACATTATACTACGGTGTTCATTTTAAAATGGAAGTGGAAATGTGAAGAAATTTTTGGAGACTCTGGACAAACTTAGTTTTATATGTAAAGGTTCAAGAGTGCACTTACTACCATAATTTCTGAAGCTTGCTGCAGTAAACCATTTAGGTCTGGAAATCGTTGCAAAATCTCTTTGCAGAAACCACACTGCACTGTTTCTTAAACCCTGAGGCTATAACCTCAGATGATGCTTGGCTCTTCAAACTGGTCATGTTTTAAAACCTCATGGCACCAGTATGCAAGGCTACAGCACATATTTGGAGCTCTAAGAGTGACACCCAGGGGTTTCTGATGTCTTTAAGCCTCTCAGAAATGACATTTACTTGAGATGAATTTCCTGTGGTGACGTATTGGCAAGGATTTAAGGAATGTGTCACAATACAAGGATGATGTCCACTCATAGATTTCATTGTTTTTACTGAATATATCCTCAATGACAGTATATTCTATATAGCAAACCAAATTCATCTCTGAGTTATGCTGCAACCTTATTAATATTCCACATGAGTTGTCATTTGAGGACATATTGACAAACATAAATGAAAGCAATCTTGAAGAGAGAATTTATTAACAATGTTTTTTGTTTTAAATGTATCCTAATTGGTGGCCTTGTAAATTGGTATTATAGTTTCAAAAAAACAACACAGCAATTCATATCAAGAGCATAAAATTCTTGTACCCTTAATATAGCAATTTTGGGACAAGATGTCCTATTGTTATATCTTCCAGCCTGAACTGCTAAGACGTAGAAAAAATTTCAGAGATGATCTGTCACGTTTTTTTTCTTATTTTCTTTATATTGATTGATTTTCATGGGTGTATTTATTTGTATGAATATAATTTGTTTCCTAAAATAGTATGCAGTTTTCCAAGGACTTAGTTTGTGTCACCTACATTTTATTTAATCAGAGATTTATATTTAAGGCCAATCTTTCTTTCTTTTTTTTTGCTACCAGGGATTGAACTCGGGACCTTGCGCTTTCGAGGCAGGCAGCGGAAGCACTGAACTAAATCCCTGGCCCAGAGATTTATATTTATATCTCTGATTATTTATATTTAAATCTCTGGTTAAAATCATATCTAGGATTCATTTAGTAACCATCATATGTCAAGCACTAAATTCTGTGTACTTTTACATATAAAATCATTTGATGCTAAAATCCTGTGAGAAAATACAAAACCATATAAATAAAACTGAAGCCCAGAGACTTTAACTATTCCAGATTAAAAAGTAGTACAAGGTAAGAGTAGGATTTGACTGTAGGCCTGCTGCTTCTTGAATTTGGAAATACTCTTTTGTGTATTGTGTAAATAAACATGAATTATGAAATAATTTTATTCTTCATGTATTTATTTTATTATTCATCGCTGTAGCCAGTGAAGGTTAAGATCATGTAAAGGATTTTATAGAACAAGTTAAGAAAATTGCTCTAAGTGATAGCTGACATTTATTAGAACTACTGTTTTATTGTGTTCTTTTTTTGGTACTGAGGATTGAACTCAGGACCTCGCACTTGCGAGCTAGGTGGCGGAACCACTGAGCTAAATCCTCGGCCCACTCCTGTTTTATTGTGATAAAAATAAAATCTAAGTAAAAAGTTTAAAAAGTGATGAGCTACTGTTTATTTTGTTCATTCCATTAAAAGGTCATATAAAGAAAGCACACTTGCCCAATTCCATAACTCTCCTTTGATAAAATTTTGGGGTAGGTATAAGAAACTGTAGCTAAGAAAAAAGTGATCTATGGCATTATTTGAAAACCAAAAGCATTAGTAATTTGTAAGCACTTAGAAATACCAGTACTTTTCCTCCTGGCATTTAAAGTTGAACTGTACTGCAGCATACCCTGGTTCCCCATAGGGAGAGTTTTAGGCAGGGCTAGATGTGAAGATGCCCTCAGAGAGAGGTCTTGTTAAAATTTTCAGCTGAACTCTTTACAGCTCACAAAGTCCTTGTGTTTTTGTAACTGATAATACAACTTTTTAAAAATTGTACAATAACAAATGTAAATAGTTAATGTGTGTGTGTGTGTGTGTGTGTGTGTGTGTATAATGTTGACTTTTACTACTCCCATAGTACTATGCTTCCTTTTAAGTACCTTAGGGATGTTTTAGAGGTCATTTGGTCTGATACGAGAAAAAGTTAGAGAATCTTCCTTTGAGAAGACCATCACTAATCAAAAACTGCTATGCTAAATATGCATTTAGTTGATAAAATGGGTAAAAGCGAATTTCTTGTATTAGTAAAACTGAAGTATTTAAATTTCAAGGGACCACAGAGATGTACAATTTAAGCAACTTGACTTGAATAGCCATTTGATTTTGCATATGTTGTTCTTCAGTGAGAAAGGTAAAAATGGTCAGAAATGTTAAAATGATGTCTGTCATTTTTCCATGCTGGGTCCTTTTGCTTTCTTTCTCCTTGATTAATTCTTGGTACTCTCTGAAATAGAATTTATTAGTAGATAATATTTATTTGTAAGCATTTAAAGGACAGGGATCTGTTCTCGACCTGCAGTCTCATTAGGTTTTTGTTATGTACCTCTTTTTCTTGTTGTTTTCTTAGTTTAGAGTCACAATTGTGATTATCGAGTGCTTTCTCTCTGTCACTAGACTGTAAGCATGAGCTCTGAGAACCAAAACTATCCCTGTACCAAGGGTGTTATTATCATTGCCTTTTCATATACATAATAATAGCATTTGGTACTGTATATACTTAAAGTTCAGTAAAGATTTGTTAAGACAAATTGAAAAAAATGCAGTTTCTGTATCTATATATTCCCTTTACAGTAATTGTGAATTTTATAAGTGTACAAAGATTATAATGTGATCTTAGGTGGATCTTTTTTACTGTTCATCAATTGATACTAATAATGTCTATAATGTTTTGAGTCCTTTATTATGTGCCAGGCATCATGTTAAACTCGCAATATACTTGGCCTAGTCTAATTTCAGAACAATTCATTTTACTTTAATATATCCATTTCACAGAGGAGGTGGTTGAGACTCAGGTCAAATAATTTCTCTAAAGCCATTAAACAAGTACAGAAGGAAGTTAGTATTTAACCCAGATTGTATGAGTCTGTAACCTATCCTTTCCTCCTCCATACAGTCCAAAGTGATACACAAGCCAGCAAATTCTAGGGTAACTCATGGAAGGTAAGTTGTATGTCAGTGACTAAAAAGTGTTAGGTAGGTAAAAAAAAAAAGAGTAGTCAATGTGATCCAGTAATTGCAGTGATTTTAGTAATATGGTTATGAAAGTAGCTTGAGGATGCTTTTTCTTGGATCTTAAGTTAGGTGCTTAGTTTACTCTGAGTTTCACTTGTAACTTTTTTGTTTATACTTCTTGTAGGTTTGAGTGGCCGTTTCTTTGTCACCACTCTCCCAGCCTTTTTTCAGTAAGTTTGAATAATTTTCTGGTCTTGCAAAGATTAAAAATTAGTAGATATATACCAGGAATTCTCAGATGTTTTCTATGACTACTCATGTATCGTAGTGGAGGAGGGAAAATCCCCACTGCTTTGAATTACACTGCCAAAAGAGGAAGTACCTGGAGTGCTGTAGAGAGAGTGCACCTTAATTTCAGGCCTGGAAAAGGAGGAAGGAGGGCTCAGAGACTTCTCTTGATTTAAAAGGTGGAGCGTTCATAACAGGTAAGTAGGGATGGAATAAACTGACAAGGTGGAGAAGGACTTTCTAGATAGAGGAAATGGTGTGTTTAAGCCTGGGAGAAAAGGAGACCTGAGAATTGTAACTATTTCTGTATTGTTGGCCCATAACATTTGGTTGGATCATGCTAGAGAGGCCCAGGTAGTGTTAGAGGGAAGAAAAAAGAAGGGGTAGATTTTGGAAATACTTAAGAGGTAGGATTATTAGGTGTTTGATCCATGTGAAGGAAGAGTTTATGTTGACTAGAAACAAGTCATGTTAGTAAATGCTATTCTTGGCCTGGAAGATAAGGAAACCTTAGAATAAGATGAGCTTTGGGAGATGGAGCTGGAATGGAGAAGACAGTGTGAAGTGCCTATTGTTAATTCCAGATGGAGAAATTTGGGTGACAGTTTGATGTCAGCATCTAAAGTTCAGAAGAAAGATCTAGCCTGGAAATACATATTGGGAATTTCTCAGCATTAAAATACATAAAAATTGAAATATTACTGTATCTACAGAGAACACATACAGTGTGAAGAGAATCAAGTAAAGTATAGAACCTGGAATTGACCAATATTAGGGCATCTGTCTTTAGTGAGTGAAGGAAACTGAGAAAGGATTGGCAGAATAGAGGGAAGAAGTCTAGAGAACTCAGGTCTTAAAAGTCAAACTAAATGGACTAGGGGTGTTGCTCAGTGGTGGAGCACATGCCTGACGTATACAAGGCTGTAGGGTCTGTCCCCTGCTCCTGGGAGAAGGGGTCAGGCTAAAAGACAAAAGAGGGATGTGCAGTAGGGGATAGTGGCAGTGAACAGGTAAATGGAAAATGCCCAAAAAATTGCTTCATGGATACGGCACTTAGGAATCACTGAAGACCCTCGGTCTGAGCAGGTTCACTGGAGCCCTGGGGGCAGAACCCCCAGTCTCACTGAGTAGTGAATGAGTACTGAAGAAGAGAAACTGACAGATGTAGACATTTGCCCTAGGAAGCTTGACTGGACAAGAGGGTGGGAGGGCAGGAGGGTTAAGGGAGATGGGAGATTAAGCAGAATTTGTGTTAATTTTGAAGCGAGGACTTGAACAACATCTATTTGGAAATGTGGATGCAAGTTTTAACCTGAAAACAATGGCTATTTTACTATTATAGAAAAAAGTAAAAATAATTGGTAGCAAATAATAAAAAGTGACTTGATAGATTAAGGATTGCCAGGAACTTTGCTTATGGTTACAGATTCTGTAATGATAAAGTGAAATGTTTAATACTTTTCAGTTTTGGAATTTCTCATTTGTAATACTAAAATTTATGCATGCCTTCTCATTTATGCTTAACTATAATTGTCTTCATTTGATCCAAGTTAAATTCCAGTGGTATTCACATATATGGCCAACAATGATTTTACTATGTATTATCTGTAATACTTGTTATTTTGACTCATTTATTTTCTGCTGTTTTTTAATTTGTAGTGCAAAAGATGGGATATTTCGCCGTTACCGAGGCCCAGGAATCTTTGAAGATCTACAGAATTACATCTTAGAGAAGAAATGGCAGTCAGTTGAGCCTCTGACTGGCTGGAAGTCCCCAGCTTCACTAACGTAACTTGTTAATTTTTTAATGATACAGAGCTATAAATAAAACAATGGTATCAAGTTAGTCTGTGGGTCTTAAAAGCCTTCATTTTCCTCCATAATCACTACTGGTTACCTAGCCCATCTATATCCATGATTGGCCCAAGTAGTGTTTCTGGTTTTGTGGACTCAGATATGTTTCAGGTAGTTTTTAGTCAGCTGAGAGTTAAGTAGCCAGATTGGTGACAGAAAGCTTTTCTTCCAGCATTTGCAAGAAGCCACACCAACCGTCTTCTCTCTACAAAACTTGTTATTGAACATTTTACTTCTTTTTCTTCTTGTAAATTATTGGTAAGGTGCAGGAGCAGCTCTTTCTTGACTTTTAGTCCGTGAAGGAATTGCTATTGTATCTTACATGGAAAATAAAACCTATGATGTTTTATTTGACCACCTTACACAGTATCGCTGTGGGTAAGTTTTGACTGTGGTGGTAAACTGTATAATACTTGGTGTAATAGATCAGGCTGTAACTGTTTTCTCAGTTGGTTTTAATTTTGAATGGTCATATTTGTAATTTATTTTATTTTAGCATATACAGGTGTAAGAACTATCCCAACTAACATAGGAACAGATGGTTTGATGTTTCAGGAGTAAATCATCTAATGACATCTATATTAATAATCAGGAAGCATAGAGTTTACTCTAAAAGCAATTCACTTCTAGCATTTCATTCTCTTTTTTTGTTTTTTTGGTACCTGGGATTGAATTTGGGTCCTTGCGCTTGCAGGGCAGGCGGCAGAGCCACTGAGCTAAATCCCAGGCCCCTAGCATTTCATTCTTAAAGTAAGTGAGCACTGATTTTTTGCCAGATATTGTTTCAGATGCTAAGCATTAATCAGTGAACAAGACAGTCATGGCCCCTCAACTCCCCTCAGGTAACTTAAAGTGAGTAGGACAGATTAGGAAAAGTCAAAGACACAAAGAATCATAATCTGGTTGGAGCAGTTAAAGATCAATGTACTTCACTAAGAAAGGGAAAAACTAGTCTCAAGCCTACCTTAGATAGAGTGGTTAGGAGAGGTTGCACTGAGGGGAGGATTAGAAGTGAGATCTGAAGGATAGAAAGAACTGGCCCAGGGTAAAAGCAGGGAGACAGATATTCCTGGGAAGAATATGGCATGCACATGAGCCCCAGTTTGGGTAAAAGTTTGGTATCCTGGGGAGTACAGTGCCAGACAGAGGGAGCTGAATGAAAGGGAAGGGTGGTGGTATGAGGTGCATGAGAGCCAGACGATACAGGACTGTGGCCATAGGAACTAGGCCGTTATCAGTGCATGAAGGGAGAAGTTGACTCTTAAAGAGATTGGAGAGGAAAAAAAAAAAGAAATTGGAGAGGGCAAGAATGAATGAGGAGAGCCAGAGGCTTTCATATTGTCCAACCTCCATATGCTAGAGCAGTATGGCAGCAGTGGAGATGGAGAGAATGAGTAGTTTAAAATACATTTTGAACACCTACCCAAGGTGAAGAGAGGGAGGATTCTCAAGTAAAAACACTAGGTTTCATGTTTGAGTACTTGGTGGATCTTGGTATCTGCTACTTATTTGGGCAAGAACAAATCAGGGATTCTGTTTAGATTTGAGAAGTTTGAGATGCAGACTTTGTAGAGCTATGGATGCATGGTGATCAGTCTTTATGGGGAACTCAGAAACATTTAGCTGGTGCTCAGAGCCTTAGGAAGGAAGGAGGAGAACACCTAGAAAGAAAAAGAAGCATGCTTGGGGTTGATCCATGAGCCACTCGCACATGAAGAACTTGGGTAGGTAATGAGTCAGCACAAGGAAACTGAAAATAATTACTAATGAGGCAGGCAGAAAAGAAGTGGTGTGCCATTTTCCAGAAGTCAGATAAAGAAAGGGTGCTCAAGAAGGAAGGAGTAGTTACCTGTCCAGTGTTAACAAGGAATTGAAAGACTAGGTCTGGAACTGGACATAGAATAAATCAAGGTGAGATCATCCTGGCTTTGGTGAGCAGTCATAGTACAGCGGTGAGGTGGAAGTCAGATTTGAGTAGGTTAAAGATGTGGCACAGAAGAAGAAATGGCAAGTGGGGGACCTCTCTTGGGAGAAGTTTGTGGATTGCTCTTGTTTAAAAGGTGGAACCCAACAAAACATGTTTGCATCCTGAGGAGACTGATGCAGCAGAGACAGAAATTGCTAATGTGGGAGGAACAGATGACAGAAAGAAGCAAGTCATTGACAGAACAAGAAGGATGGGCTTCAAGCACAAGTGGAGGAATTAGACTATGGTAGGGCAGATAAGACTTTCCTGTTGAAACGAGAGAAGGTGCATGCGAGTATGCACAAGGGTCAGATTTAGTAGTGGAATGGCTTCTAATTTCACAATGATACATGAAGAATGTTTGTTAGCTGAGAGTCCTTGGGGAGGGGAGGATGTATAAGGTTTAAAGAGAGGGAAAAGGCAATGAGCTGTTATCTCAGAGCCTAAATATGCAGGACTTGGTGGTATTGAGCCTTTCCTTATATTTGGGAGTCAGCTAGGCATGGGATCTTTCCCTGGAGATGTTCAGCTGCTTGGGTTTGGGGTTGTGCCCAGTATAGATAATGAAGGGATAAAGTGCCAAGGAAAGAGAATGTATTTTCAACAAAGCAAGTCAGGTGTTGGCCACAGAATTAAACTATGTAAGAGCAGAGGTGAGTCTAGGAGAGAACAGCAAGACATAGGATCAACGAAAGGGAAGTACCCTGGACCTGAGTTTTGTTTTGCTTTTTCATAGTATACATAGTCAGTATTTCCCTTCTTTCTCTATTTTTTTTTTTAGGATGTCTGGAATGGCTGGTCTTTTTAGCATCTCTGGCAAGATTTGGGTGAGTAATCTTAAATAAAACTATTACTATATTTAGAGGTGTTTAAGAATAGAAATGTAGCTTTTAAACAATAGGAAAACACTTTTATAAGTACTTTTATAATTCTACTTTGTTCTTAAGCCATACAACTCCTGTCAGGCACCATGCCCAGTGGTAATGTGTCTGTGTGTAGAAGGGCGTGATTTGAGGAGTGCCCTGTAGCAAGTATGTTGCAGTCATGTTTTCTTAGATTAGTGCTGAAATCCTTATCAAAGCAGTAGGGCTTGTGTGGTTTTAGTTTGTCTTATGTTCCCACTGGCAAATCTCTTACAGATTAAAGATTTTCTAAGTCTAAAAGTAGTTCTGTATGTCAGCAGTCAGTGAACTACAGCCTGTGGATGGGCTGCCTATTTTTGTAAACAAAGCTTTATTGGAACACAATCTGTTGTCTATGACTGCTTTTCTACTATAGTGGTGGAGTTGAGTAGTTGTCACAGAGACACAGGGGGTTGGGACCTGCTAGTTTAGTTAGTTACTGTCTACCCTTTAGGAAAAAGTTTACTGACCCCTGCTATCTGTGACTGTATAGTCATTTTAGTATGTTGTTCAAGTTAAAGTGTGGAGATATTATATAACCTTGAGTATGTTCTATAACCTTTTATTTCCCTTCTTTGTAGAGGGGCTAAATCCAATAGATTTTGTAAAAGTGCCCTGGAATTACATATAGCCCAAAATATATTTGAATGCCTCTTTAGACATAATCTCCTGTATATGTCTTTTCTAAGATATGATTGTGGGTTATTGTCTCATATTGGAAATTAATATTCAAGGAGCTCATGAATATTCTGTTTCTCATTCACATTGATATATGTTAAGGGAAATTTAAGATCAATCTTATGTCTCAGGTTCTTAGTTATATATTCTGTCTTGTGACACAAATACTTCTGGTTTTTTTTGTTTGTTTTTTACAAATGACACTAATCAGAAACTTGGATTCAGTCTTTTTTATTAAAATTTAACTGGTTTTATTTTTCAGCATTTATCACATTAAATACCATGGTAACTAATACTTCCTTCTCTCTAGATAGTTTGTTACATGTGGTTTCCTTCTGGTCTTTTGTTAACACTAGTGAGAAGTTTAATCAAAGACTGAGAATTACAATTTTAAACCAGGAATTGAGGGTAGGATATTCTGCCTTTTGCGGTGTGTTGACATTAAATTCTGATAAAGGCATATAGCTCGACAGATGTTTGAGCCTTGTAGCATTATAATGTCTAATTCTGCAGAACAATTTTAATAGATGGATATCAGACAACATTGACAGCAGACTCTTAGCACAGAACCAGTGGTGAAAATAGATCAAGAGATGAGTTTGTCCTGCAGGTTCAGAAGAGCTTAGATGGAAGTTGTCTGGCCATCACAGGTGGTTAAAGAGAAGTTTTACTTTCAAAGACTGTATCAGGGAAGAGATACAGCTGATGCATTTGGAATCTGGCCCTTGACTTTTTATTCAGAGCCCAGTCCTGCTGTCCCATTGGGTTCCTGATTCCCACTCCTACCTCAAGGCCCTGGCCTTGGTGCCCTTACTCAGCCAGGCCTAGTTGACTGACTGGCCTACCTGCTGGGTGAGCTCATTTAGCTGGCTCTTCCTTTTACTCAGAAACCTCACATTAAGATTTAATATATAATTTTGGGGAATATAATCTGTTTTTAACTCATGTAAAACTGCATTGCAAGCATATTAGTAATGAATAGGAGAAGTGTGGCTCATAGGGAGAGAGGGTTAGACAGTGGGAGGCCCCAGAGAAGGCTACAACCAGAGAGAACAAGGTCTCAGAAAAAGAAGAGAAAGCTATGGAAGTGGGAAGAGGAGGGAGTGTGGCTAATGCCAGTACTGTTGATTCTCACCTGTAATCTCTTTTGCCCTACTGAGATTCTGTGTGCACAAAGACAGATAGAAGTTAGACTTGCCTCAGCTATTGATGCTCGCACATGAGTAACTGCTCAGATACAAATACTTCCAAAGAGAAAGATGCGGGTTATTAATGGGGGAGGGGTGACCAAACAATATGATTGTGTATATAGAAAAATACCTACAGAGAGATCAAGTTGATATCAACAATGTTTTTCCCCTAATGTTGGAGTTATGGCCAATTTTTTTCAACCCATCATCCTATTGTGTAGTTTCTAATGTTACTATGGTGAAAAAGAAACAACAAAAACCAGCAATTATCTAAAAGATCAGAGCCTGCTTAATTAGTGATTCCTTAGAATCTTGAGTTTCTGCCACAGGAGTGAAGCCGACCTGGTCCTCTAGCATTCTAGAGGTAACATAACTGAATTTCTGTGGATTCAGGAGTTTCACAGGAATTCAGTTATGTGGGTAAACCCACACAATCCTCCCATCCCAATACCAGCTTTTATCTCTAGGGATAGGTCTTATTCCAAGTGTTGAGAGGTAAAGCATAGAGGGAAAAGTGCTTCCTTGCTCACCACAGAGGAGTCCTTGCTAGATGCTCCCAGGCAGGGAGATATTTGGGGGATTCTGATTTGTGTGTGAAAAGGACCAAGGGCTGTGCTTAGGGTATAAATCCAATGATACAGGCAAGCTCTAAATTCAAAGGCTCTCTGCCCTTCAGGGCCAAAACAACTTTGAATCAGACCATGCAACACTGGAGTGGATTGCTGGGTGTCCCTGGGTGGCATTTAATGCAGCCTGTAATAGTTCAGCTTCCAGAGTGAGTGCTCTCCTCTTACCATGAAGACCTTGGCCTACTCTGTTCCTGAAAAGCATCCAGCCACTGGGACATTCTCATTTGTTCTATTGAAATAATGTTTTCATTTAGACTCACTTGAGTCTGTATGTAGCCAAAAATTAGCTCCGACTTAGTCATCTGGTATAGTATATAATAGTACAGAGAGTATGATGCCCATCAGATGACATTTTAGTGCATTTTAAAAATTAATTTTATTGGTACATTTTAGGTATACAATATATTGACATTCATCATTAGAAATTTGCACCTTTACATAATCTCTCTTGGTTCTTATTTTTTCCCCCATTCCCTTGCCCTCCCTTCAACCCCTCCATCCCTCCCTATTTACAGAGACTTTGTTTCCAGTTTTTCATTTTCTCATATTAATTCCATTCCCTTCTTTCCTTTCCCCTACCCCTCCCACTTCCCTATCCCCTTTGCCTCTTTTCTTCCTGTTTCACATTATCTATTATACCTTTTAGTCCTTATTTACACCTCCAGTTTCTCACACTAGAGAAACTATTCGATATTTACCCATGTGTGTCCTATTTATTTCACTTAAGAGTATTGCCTCAGCGTGCATCCATTTAGCTATAAATGTCTCTAATTTCTTGGTTTTTATGGCTAAGTAGTACTCGTTTTATTAAAAAAACTGCATTTCTTTATCCAGTCTCCAGTTGATGGGCAATTAGGCTGCTTCCAAGTTTTAGCTATTACAAACTGTGCTGCTATGAACATGGGTGAACATGTATCACTGTGGTATGATTCTTTTAATTCTTTGGGGAAGATTCCCAGCAGGGGGATAGCTGGGTCGAATGGGACCTCTAAGCCTAGTTCTTTGAGGTATCTCCATACTGATTTCCACAGTGGCTGCACCAGTCTACACTCCCATCAACAGTGGAGCAGTTTTCCTCTTTCCCCACAGCCCCACCAGCATTTGTTATTGGTTGATTTCATGATAGCAGCCATTCTTTCTGGAGTGAGGTGGAATCTTAGCTTTGTTTTCATTTGCATCTCTCCGATGACCGTTTATGCTGAACGTTTTTTCATATGTTTATTTGCTATTTCTACTTCTTTATCTGAGAAGTGTCTGTTCATTTCAGATGCCCATTTTTGGACTGGCTCTTTAAATTTGGGAGGTCCGATTTTTTTAAAGTTCTTTATGTATTCTAGATAGTAGACTTTTGTTCGAGGAACAGCAGGTGAAAATTTTTTCCCACACTGTGTGTTGTCTCTTCACATTGTTGGTGGTTTTTCTTGCTGTGCAGAAGCTTTTTAATAAAAAAAGATCCCACTTGTTGATTGTTTGTGCTAGTTCATGGGCAACTGAGATTTTGTTCATAAAGTCTTCTTACACCAATGTCTTCAAGAGTTCTACCTAACCTCTGTTCCAGCCTGTTCTGTGCTTCTATTTTAATATTTAGGTCTTTAATCCATTTTGATTTTAGCTTAGTGCATGGTGATAGATATATGTCTAGTTTTAATCTTTGGCAAGTTGAAACCCAATTTTTCCAGCACCATTTATTGAACAGGTTATCTTTCATCCAGTGAGCGTGTTTGGCTCCTTTGTCAAAGATGAGGTGGCTGAGTGTGTCTGGAGTTGTTTCTGCATCTTCTAATCTGTTCCACTGGTCCTCAGGTCTGTTTCTTTGCCAGTACCATGCTGTTTTTATCACAGTAGTTTTGTAGTATAGTTTCAAGTTGGGGATTGTGATTCTACCCCCTGCCATGTCTCTGTTGTCTAGAATTGCTTTCGCTATTCTAGATCTCTACTTGTTCCAAATGAATTTTTGGATTATTTTCTCAAGATCCGTGAAGTATTCTGCTGGGATTTCAATTAGGATTGCATCTATATAGCAATTTTGGAAGTATGGCCATTTTCATATATTGATACTTCCTACCCAGGAGCAAGGGATATCTTTCCATTTTCTAATATCATCTTCAGTGTCTCTTTTCAGAGTACTATCATTTTCAGAGAAGAGGCCTTTAATTTCTTTTGTTAGGTTGAGTCCTAGGTATTTCAATTTTTTTGGATGCTATTGTGAAAGGAATTGTTGGCCCTATTTTTCTCTCAGTGAGTCTGTTGTTCATGTAGAGGAAAGCTATTGATTTTTGTGTGTTGACCTTGTATCCAGCTATTTTACTGAATTAGGTTATTAAGTCTAGAAGATTTTGGTGGAGTTCTTGGAGTCTTCTACGTAGAGTATCATATCATCTGCAAATAATGACAACTTTGACTTGTTTTTTTTCTTATCTTTATTCCT